ACGTTGTAGCCAAAAAAAAAGAGACATAAGGTAACCATGCCAAATGCAATTATTTTTTGATTTTTTTAAAACTAATCTGGTGTTATCTTACCTCAACTATTCAACATCAACCCATAATAGTGTTCTATCAATCTTTTATATTTAATACCATATCTAAATTTCATGGAAAATCTATCCAATATCATATATATTAAAAATAATTAAGAATTTATCCTTGATTGTCTCCCTTTCTCAATCAAATTGCATAATTTCTCCAACCATTTAATGTATTTCATATCTATGTCAGATTATTTAACTAATAGTATCTTTAATAGGCTTTTTATTCTCACTCAACTCCCTATTTTAGATAATCAATCCCTAAAAATCAAACTTCAATAGACTTTCTTTTTAGAGAGTCATATTTGGCTCTCTACATCTCGAGAGGTCAACTCACTCACTATTCTATTTTTTAATTAATGAAAAGATGACACGTATTTATTCTTCATTAAATGTTATTGACTATAAGATTTTTTTTCAATTTGAATAAAAAAACCCATTGAAATTATCTAAGATATTTTACTCTTCATTTCAAAATTTTATTAAAAATGTCCCCTATTTTACACTTACCTAAATAGAGAGTGCTATTAAAAATACTCTTAATAGACGTTTTTCGTTTCAATATCTAGACATAAACCAAAGCTTATCTTAAGGAAAAAAAAATGATTATAAGGCTTTCAATAAAACTCTAAATATTAGTTTTGTTATTATTAAATATTTTTTACATAAGCGTGAAAAATAATTCTATCAACCAAGAGATATGCTATTTGAACTTCATCTTGGGGCGTAATTCAATGCATCTATTGAATTAAAAATAGACTCCATTTAACATTCACACTTAACTAATTCAATGATTGTATTAAATTAAGTATTTATACCATTGCTCATTGACTAAGTGGATATACAATTACTCTCTCACTCATCTATAATATAAAACAAGACATATTTTAATAAGTTGATTCGATGGTGTGAAATAAATTCATCCAATGACTACCAACATCCCTTTTAAAACTATTTATATTGCACCATACTTTCAGATGCGAGTTATCTCTAGTCTACAATATAAAACAGGACAGTTTCAATAAACTCATTCGATTATCTCAAATAAACGTATTCAACAGCTACTAACATTCTTCTCAAAATTGTTCAAATTAAATTTTTTTTCCCCTTTCCCCCCTAAATCCATCACTTCTCAGTTATCGTGTATTTAGCCACAAGTTACCCAGAGTCTAATTATATTTCACTACCCTCCTACATTATTTTACTCCAAAAGTTCTCTCTCTCCTTTTCTTTTGGACAATTTACAAAACATACCCTCAAAGTTTAGCTTTAATTTTTATTTGGTCCCTAAAATTTTAATTTGAACAGTTAAATTCTTAAAGTTTTGATTAGGTTTCAACATTGTCTTTTTTTGGAAAGGTAGGTTTCAACATTGTCATTCCTTCCAAATATGTTAAATTCTACTAATGGAATGCCAATGAGTGAAAATAGCGCAACTTGTGTAATGTCGGACATTTAGTTCGGTACGTGGACGGTACTACTACATTTACGAGCACAACTGGGAGGGATATAAAAAAAAAACATTAAGGGCATATTTTGTAAATTGTAGTTTTGGTTTCTATTTATGTGTTCCTGTTAGCTTTTTGTAAAATGTGTTAAAAGAAGTCTTTCTCTTCTTTCTCTCTCTCTCTCTCTCTTGATTGGGATCTTCTCTCGATTAAGGGTGGCTCAAGATAATTTGAGACTTAAAGCGATATTTTTAAATGAGGCATTCTATATTTTTTATTATTAATATTTTTTATTTAAAATTAATTTTTCTTGTTTCTTGAGTTGCAAAAGTATTAATTAAGATTTTATATTCAAGTTTTGCTACCATATCTTTTTTAATTGATAGTATCACTAATCCAGTTAATCTTTCTTGTGACATAATCGATCTTAAGTAAGATTTTATCAATTTTAATTTTGAAAAACTTCTTTCCTCAGAAGCAACTGTTACAGGAATTGTTAATAATATTCTATAAGCAATGCATGCATTTAAAAAAAAATCTAACTTTTTATATAATTTAGTATCTCAATTGGAATATTTTCTTTCGTTTGTAAAATTTCTTTTAAAACATTTAGTTCTAAAAATAAATCTAAGTCATCAATATCGAAAAAAATTTCATGTTTTAAGAAACATTCAAGATCCAAACAATATTGTTTTAAACTATCATTGGTCAATGATTTTAATTTTTCTAAGTTAAATAAAAAATCAAAAATATTTTCGTACTTTTGTAATTGTTCAAATCTAATTTTTAGTGAAGAAATAGTTTGATCAATTATATATGTAAAATAATCAATTCTAAAATATTCTTCGATAGATTGTAATACCGAGTCAGTCACCTTAGTGATTTGTGACAGCGAGTTCTCCGTTGTAGCACTTGGCAAAAAAAAAAAATGATATGTGAGTAATGAGTTGTGTGAGCTCTCAAGTCTTGAGAGCAATGTGAGAGAGAAAGGGAGAGGGAGAGGGAAAAATAAGAGTTTAATTTTTTGTTTCAATTTAATGAGAAAGAGAGAAAGAAAAAAAATTGTTTTTATATAATTGGTTTGGTTGGTTTATCAATAGAGAGAGAGATGGAGCGTTAAAAAGAAGATATGATTTGATTTAGATTATTTTTGTGGCTTTGATATGACTTTTCAGTTTTTTTTTTATATTGTTATTTTTTTTTAGATATTTAATATTTGGATTAAATTATGAATCTAAAATAATTAATTGGACTAATATTTTTATGTTTAAAAATTCGGGGCCTTCCTTTGAACACCTACTGTTGGGCCGGCCCTGTTCTCAATTATATCTCTCTCTCTCAGTTGAACCACGGAGTTGCAGGGTCAGAGAGATGGTGGACTCGAAGGTGGAGACAATATCCCGGTTGGCTCAATGGAGAGTCGAAAACTTCGGATCCTCCACTTATAAACGGTCCGATCCTTTCAAAATCGGCTTTTGGAACTGGTACACTGACACCCTGCTCTCTCTCTCTCTCTCTCTCTCTCTCACACACACACACACACACACAAAATTTGAGTAGTCTATACTGATTTGGAATCGTTTATAGGTATTTATCAATAGAGAAGAATCGGTATCTGTACATTCGGCTGTTTCCGGAGCCTTCTCGGGTGTCCAAAGAGCAGCCTCCGGTTGCTCGATTTGTTCTCCGAGTCACCACAACTGGGACTAACCGCAGACCGTACATCTCCCCAAGTAGGCTTTATATTAATTATGCGCCTTTATAAATTATAGAGGTGGTAAAAAATTTATTCTTTGCTTGTTACTGGGAATTGTCATATTTTGTGACATTGAAGAGAAAAAGGAGGGAAGAGGGGGGGGGGGGGGGGGGTGTTGGAGAACAAGCATATTGGATTCAAGGATTCTTTGTGGAAAAAATAAAAACATAACCCAGTGTGTTCCAAAGATTAGGCCGGTTATAGGCCTAATCTTTGGCACCTAATATATGGAATTGTATTCACAAAATGGACGTTCTCAGATTGGTATTCACAACCTTATGGGTGTTAATCCAAGCACTTGGCAATTTCGTATTTCCATGACAATTTTTCCCCGAATCATAGTCTTATATTATGTTGCAGCTGCACTTATAATAACTCCAAAATTCCGAGCATCCACTCAGGTGCAGCGGTGCGGGTGGATGCTTTGTGCTTTGTGTCTTTTTTTTTTTTTCTGGGTGGGGGGAGCCAAGGGGTTTGCCAATGCATTGATGATATCGCTCTAGCAAGCCTGTATTCACAAAACTGAAGAGAACTGTTTCAGGGAGTTCCTCTGGGTAAGTTGGAAGTATCTTTTTCTTTTCGCCTGTCAACAAGCAGGAGTTTTCATATGTTAGTTATATTATCCTGGCAAATCTTCATCAGTAATTTGTGATATGAATGGAAGCATATGGGCAAATTCTTCGTTGTTGCACATTGCTTCTCTCTCTTCTGTTGTTCCTTTGAAGCAACCATTTTTTCCTAACATTATTTCCACATATGACCCGACTTTCAAGCAAAGGTACCAGATTCAACATTCAGCCAGTTCTGTTTGGTTTCATCACTTGAAGATCTAATGAGTCAGTCCAATTTCTTAGCAATTTGCAGAAGGGAGCATACTGCTCTTACCAAATATTCCTTCCAATTATGTGTGTCCCTATCAATCAGGTCCGTGTCTCCTCCAAGAAAATTACCACATATTTTCAAGGACATCACCTTTAATATGGATTGTCGTGGAATCTATGGAAATGCTCAGAATAACACCTTTTCCCCTACTAATTGTACTCATGCGGCCATTCGTCCCTGTGTAAGTAGATACCACCTCATTTAGCTGAAGAAGATGTTGAAAGGCTTTTGGACCTTAGATCCTAATACCAGCTAAGCTTTTTATGATTTCCACACAGCGTTAACCGTGTAAGTAGTACCTGCAATGGATAATCTTTTCTATTACTACTAACTCTTTCGGAAAGCTTAGGTTTTAAAGTAATGAACCCTTCCATCAGTTTTAAGACCCTTTTCCCCTTGATCCCCAAACTAAGTGATTTTTCCTTTTCTTTTTTTTTTTTCTTTTTTTCTTTTTGGTGTGGGGTAGCAGTGAGTATGGAGAGGGGTTGGCGTTTGGGTTGGATTTTGGAAGCATGTGGTTTGTTGGATGTTGCTTTGTCTTTCCATCCTTTGTCTGGATCCGTTAATTTTCTGTTCAGATGTTGGTACTGTTGATTACATGTAAATGCCTTGATTTACTTATAAAAGGTCATATTGCTTTTCCTTTTCTTGTCATTGCCAGAAAAAGATTTCTTGTCATACCATTACTTTTTCTTAAACATGAAGATAGATTATATCATTACCTAAACCAACGGGTCTTCGTTCAGTTGGATGCGATGATGGACCTGTTGCAACTTGCAGGGTAGTAATGAACCAATTTGTTTAGGGACTTGGAGTTGCTCTTACTTAGGCAATGGGTATGTTGCTATCAGACCAAGTCCTTTTGACCTGCAATGTAACTCTGTGTGTATTATTGATGTTCTTTTACAGTGGGGGAACTGCAAAATAAATTTTCGGTCGACATTTGAGCATAGTGATCTGTCAACTGTAAAACATACTATGAAAATACACGCATGAATTGTAAAAGAAAGAATACATACTATGAAAAATACAACCATAAAGTGTCTGTAATTATTGGTCATTCCAACAAAAGAAAGAAACCCCCACAATCCCTATTGTCGTGATTTATTTCTCCTAACTTGCCTTTCTCTCTCTCTCTCTCTTGCACCAATAATGCCATCCTCTGAGTAAAAATAAATCCTGTACGTGCAACTGGTTTACAACACTTTTATGATGGATGCCACCTAACGTTGTATTGCTTGATGCTGCAGTTCATGAGAGACTTCTTCGAACCAGTGATGACTTTGTCTGGCCTGTTGATTCCAACTTTCAAGGTCGCTTCATCATTGATGTCGAGTTTCTGGACCTGAAGATCTACTCATTAAATGTGAGCCACTTAAAGTCATCTGGTGTCTTGCAATGCACACTAGATTATTTTTAGAATATGTTATACAAAATATTGTTGGGTAGTTTTGAATCAAGTGAAGTATAAATACTTTAATTATATCATCTCTAATAACTTAAGCTTTTGGAGTAAATTGTTAAGTTCCTGTGTTCGAATCTCGCCATCATCTTATTTATTAAAAGATTTTCACATGCTAGGTCTAAAAATGAATCTGTTGGTGAGAAGGTGTGTTTAAGTATTCCCTCTTTAACGGTTTAAGCTGTTGGAGTAGATTGTTGTTTAACAGAATCAACACAGAATAGGTTACACGTAATATTTTTTGGCTTCTCTCTTTGTAAAAGGACATTGCAACAAATTGCATTGCAGTCGCGTTGGAGCAGACTGGCATTTTTAGCTTGGACGTCAAAAAATTGCTGCCAGACTTTTTTTTGGTTTGTTTTATATGGTATTTTTGTCAACCTAAGGTCAATTAGAAATGACGCAGATTTTGAATCACTCTTTTGTTAAAAGCAGTTTCTTTGTCGGCTAAGCATTTACCAAATTTTTTTTTTTTACACAACTTAAGAAAGACTACGACTAGTAGCAGTTTATTTTGAGTCCCGTTGCTGTTTGGTCTTTAATTATTTTTTTTCTTTCGTATAAATTTTAGGGTGGAGAAGGCAATTCCATATGGCCCAGTGATTGTATGATGCAATCTCTTGCTACTCAAAGCACTCTCCGATGCCTCTCGCGTATGCTTGATGAGTCTATTCATGCTGATGTCACCATTAATGCAGCTGATGGAACACTAAGGTCCCATAAGGCGATTCTTTCGGCAAGTTCTCCGGTGTTCCACAGCATGTTCCTGCACGACCTTAAGGAGAAAGAGTCCTCTACAATCAACATAGAAGACATGTCATTAGAGTCTTGCACAGCCCTTCTCAGCTACTTATATGGTACCATAAAACAAGAGGATTTCTGGAAGCATCGATTGACATTGCTGGGTGCTGCAAACAAATATGACATAGCGGATTTGACAGATGCTTGTGAAGATAGCCTCTTGGAAGATATCAACTCAGGAAATGTCCTTGAGAGGCTGCAAGAGGCCTGGCTTTACCAGCTGAAAAGGTTGAAGAAAGGATGTTTGATGTACTTATTTGATTTTGGCAAGATTTATGATGTTAGAGATGAAATAAATAACTTCTTCAGGCAGGCAGACAGAGAACTAATGCTGGAAATGTTCCAAGAATTGCTTACAGGTTGGAAACCGGCATAAATCATCATGGAGAAAGTTTCCATTCATCAGGTATTGTTAAATGTTAATGTATATATGTGCATATAAATATGGATAAAAGATACTAGGGTGCTAAAAGTAGTGGAAACGTGTAGTTTTTGAGATAAGACATTAACATCAGCTGCAAGCCTGTGAGTGTACTATTGTGAATGTAATGCAACTTTATTATGGGCTTAGCAATCTTGCTGGTTTGAGGTGGATGAGAAAATGTTCTCTATTCTGTGATTAGATACTGTGTTCAAATATACATGTCATGTTGTAGAGCCTATCTATACATAGTCGATCCCAGGCCATAAAGGGAGAGGGTTGCGTTAGATAGATTGTTGATAGTCAGGGTATAATTTTACATCTTCACAGTAATTTTCAACTTATTTCTCAATGTACCGTGTTTTTCATAAATAAAAAAAAAAAAAAACAGGCACTTTGAACCCACACTCAGGTGCTTTCAACTTTTTTCTTGACCGTTGTTTTTCATTTCAGAGATTGAAAAGTATGGGTTTAAATGCCGCTTTTATGAAAACTACCAAAGAATGGAAAATAAATTGAAAAATATCGGAAAAAGTTGAGGTAGTTGTAAAATGACGGTATTTTGGTGAAGAACTCCTGCAAATTGTTAGGAGTTGTTCATCATTGGCAGTTTTGTACAGGAATGGAAGGTTAACAAAGGTGCACCAGAAGAAAATACGTCCTTGGATTAGGTTTTACGTTGATTTAGCCGAAGGGTAATTGCTTAGCTCCCTGATTCACAGCATCTCTCCATAACCTGCACCTGACACTCCTAGCTTATTGTAGGAAGGATACGGGCCAATTCCTAACATTCGCACCCCCCCCATCCCCAACCCCACCTCCAAAAAACCCTGAGATGTCCTGATCATCGGAGCATCCTATCGTTCACAAGGCGATCTATCCTCTAAAAGAGAAGAGAGACCAAGCGAGTGAAGCCCCCGGGGGCTTTGGTGGACTGATACAATCGTGTTGCAATTTGCAAATATAAGATTGTGGTCAAGTTATGAGAGAATTATTCTTCATGAATATTTTAGTTTTAACGTGGATAACCTATCTTTGACTGGACTAAAGAGAGGATTAATTGAGGTGCATGTTAAGCTAGCTCGAACATCCCGATTGGTTACTGATGAAGACTATGTTCTAAAGACGAATTGAATCACAAATTGCGAGAAACTGGCCTACCATTGAGTCATCCTTCAGGTCTATGGATTCTTATGAACACAGCCATTTCTTTTTTTAATTCTGTTTTGAGCAGTATTACTTGGAATTAATTGAAGGATTTAATTTATTGTAACTTTTAAATTAACGGCGAGTCTCAAAGTTGAATAGAACCCACTTTTCATCAAACGTATTATGAATTAGATCCTCAAATTGAATGATAAAACTAATTATAGATTAATGTACTTTATATCCTTCGGGTAGGAAAACCATTCATCATAAAAACTTTTTTTTTGTATTTTATTATTATTTTGTGCATTGTGTTGAGTAATAGACCAAATTAGTTGATTAAATGTTGAACAACTCAGAATCGGGCATTGTTTTAGATAAGTAAAAACAAGTCAAAGTCCACAATTAATGTATTTCTTGAGAAAATTGAATTTTCGTCTCATTTCATTAAAACGTTACAACATTCATTTTATAACTAAAATTTTTTCATAACAACCGATAATCATTCCAATCACATGTTTTGTGAACTCGTGATTTTAATATTAACTCAGAATGTGGGCAATCACTTACAAATTATATAATTAGATTCTCAAGGTATTTGGTGAGAGTCTAACTTTGAATGTTAAGGCAGTTACCAATCAAACCAGTGGCCGAGGGAGGTTGGCGGCTTGGCGTAGGGGGCTGGGCCCACCCTGATTTATTTTTTACTTATATATGTGTTATATAATTTTTTGATAATTTCAATTGGACTCCTCCTAATGAGTTAAATAAAATAAAATTAATTAGATCAAAAAAATTAGGTACAAAATACAGGAATTAAAAAAAAAACAAGGCCCAACGTCATAACCAATCTCTTGGAAGTCAATAAACCAAAAAAAATGTTGTTGTCATTTGTCATCTTCTTTCCAAAGACAAGCAAAGTGAAAATGAAATGATCGGTGCCTCCTACACTATTGCCCCAGAAACATCACGTTAGAGACCTGGAGATCAAGAAAAGAAAAAAGTATTTCATTTTCTCTCCTCGTTTCATCTTTCGACTATCGGATTATTCCGACTCTCCAATTATAAGTCTTTATTTTTAGAAAAATATCATTTTTTAAATAAAATTCAGTGTTTGACACAGGGTACCATTGCACTTTTTTGGCTTGTTAAGCCATGAATTAGGTTGTAAATTTTTTGGATTTTATTGCCCCTTTTGATTGTTTCAAAAAATTAACCTTAAGTCTAACCTTTTTATAAAAAATAGTGCTTTCCTTCTTTTGTTTTTTTCCCGAAATCTGTTTGGTTAGTATAGGAAAATGTGATTTATAATGTTATTCATGTCTAAGCTATGTTATTGTTTTTAGTTATTTTTTGTTTGCATAAAATATATATACTGACTTTAGGCCTTTTATGTTTAATAAATATTTAAATACCGAATATGATGTAAAAAATATAAATATATCACATTATCTTTATCTATTAGAGAATAAAATAAAATTTATAATTAAAGTATGTCCACTCTAAATTATTTTCCTGACTCACTCACAAAAATCAGAACTGAGTCATTTGACATGTAGTAATTAAGACTCTAATATATAGTTGAAGGGGCACGAAATTACAGCACATGACTTAATATGATGATTCATAATGTGACAAGGACATGTGCACGTCTAGAATACAAATAGTGCAAAACAATGTCAAGAATGAGCCGAACTAATTAAGGTCGGACTAAGACTAATTGACCCCTCGATTAATTAGGTCGAGCTTCCTTGATGATCGAAAAAGCTCGGGCCGAGCAAAGGAAGTGGTCACGTACTATCTAGGATAAGGGAATGAATAGGGGATCTCGTAAAATCAAATAGAAAGATAAAATAAGTAAGTTACTAGAATTATGGTGAATATTGTCAATAATTTTGAAGAACTAGTTAATTTGAGAACGTTTGAGAGATTTTAGTAAAAATAATCTGAAATCCGGAATAATATGAGTGTACCACATTGTCTTATTAACAGTGAAAACCCTAAATGACGAAGACGATGCATCCTACAAAAGGGGCCCATAAAGTTTAAGTGAACCTTTGTATGCGCGCAAGTCTCTCGCTTGGATTCTTCTCAAGAGTTGGTTTCAAACCAATATTCTCCCTCTCTTTCAGGTGACTTCCCCGTTAGTTGATAGTGATCTCACCCACGCACCTCTTCGTAGCACTCTTACAAAAAAGCTTCGATTACTAGTGCTTTTTGCTGGCAACTTTGGATTAACTCACGGAAGCAGAGTCACGTCATAGAGTTAGGTACTACGCTCATGTTTCAAAGTTATGTGCCCAAGCGGTACTAGGGGTGTAATTTAAGTTGGATAATTCGATTTTAATTCGAGCTTTAACTCAAAATAATTAAAACTTGGACAAGAATTTTTAATTCTTAGGTTGGGTTTGAGTCAAAAAACTCTAACTCAAATTTAATTTGGGTTGGGCTCGAGTTAAGGCATCGGGTTCAACTCGAATCTGACAAATTTAAAAAAAAATTATATATATATATATATATTAAAAACTTGGTTAGAGTTATTGGTTGTTAATTTAAATGAATATTATGTAATATATGTATTAGGTTTAGAATAACAAGTCTATTTTAAGCTCTACCCCAATTGAACTCAAAATTATTAACCCAAATTCAACCTAATCTTGTCCGAATTAAACTCGGACAGTGCTCGGGTGGAGTTTCTCAACTCAGGTAGGGTTAGGGTTAAAAATTATATAATTAAGTTGACTGTCCAACCCGTCCGAGTTGTACCCCTAAGCGGTACACACAATAATCTCTGTAATTACTTTTATTTCGATCATTTGCTGATTTAAGTATTAGATTGTCTTTAACCACCCTGATCCGATCTTTGACAATTTATAAGAAAAGTGGTGCAAAATATCATTAGTTGGCCAACCAAATCATTTTGTAAGATGTAAATTTTGTCATCGCTTATAATAAGCATGCATGACTCTAATAATAATCAATCTCTTTCAATTTACGAGGTCGGAAGGTCATGCGAAGGAGATGAGGTTCGTGTTTAAAATTTAAATAGAATACTGATACCGAAGAGAACATATGGGGTGGTGGCGCAGTTGGCTAGCGCGTAGGTCTCATAGCTTCTGAGTTATCCTGAGGTCGAGAGTTCGAGCCTCTCTCACCCCAGTTCTCTTTTACTTATTTTCTCATACCTGCATATTATTATTATTAAAAATCATTTCCGATGGCAAGCCACAATATCCACAGACTAGCATTAGGGCAGGATCAAGCCCTCTGTTTTTGGGAAAACTTCCTCAACCTCTTTTTTCTAATACACTTTCAATCATTTAAGAGAAATCCTTTGTTTTCTCCTTGTATTTGGTAAAAGAGATGAAAAATAAAAAAGACAATTTTTTTTGTATTTGGTAAAATGTGTAATTTTAATTTTAAATATATATATACCTAATATATATATAATTAATAAATATGATATGTATATATTAAAAAATATATATACAAATAACATACATTTCAACATAAATAATTAATTTTTCATCCACTTTTCCTCCCAATTTTAAAAATATTTGATTTTGATGAGTTAAAAAAAAAATTAATTTATCTATTTTTCCATCTTTCTTATTTTTTTTCCTTATTAAACATAATATTTTACTTATCCCCCAACTTTCTATCATTTCCATTTTTCATCGTATCAAACAAAACTTAATAATCTTAATCATTCGACGTGAAATAAGTCACTCTAAAACAATATCATTATAAAAGACCGAATATGGTAAGCACAACAAGAGCCCTTGAAAGCTGAAATCCGAGAAGGTTTCAAAACTTTTGAAACACCACCTCCATCCAAGTAACATGAATGCCAACTAAACAGAATTTAATCAGCAATTCTCTCAATTGTCCAACACAAAGTCCCATGTTTTCAACCTTCCCCTATAGTATCTTTTGTCTATCCTTGATGACTTTCAACTTGAATACCACTCTTACTTCGTGAGAACAACTTCCCAAAACCACTTCGACTCTTTGCAGAACTGCCATGATTAGCAGATGAAGTTGACGATGATGAAGATGATGGTGATTCCCCATCATTACCATTCATGCAAGGAACAGAATTCTCTCCAGGTATTTTTGGAGGATTTGAATCACTTTTAGGCATAAAGGTCCCGTTAGAATGCAACTTCCATAGCTCTTCAGCAGCTGTTGGAAAAAGTGATCCTCCTTCAGAAAACCCGGGAAGGTTCGCATTGTCAATCAAGAAGTCTTCCAGTGTTGCTAGAGACTTGAGCTGCTGCCCAAGAGATGCTATCGTTCTCTGGCACTCTGCAAGTTTACCAGCTGCTACGTCTATGTCCTCCTGTAACACAATTTATAAAATTTATTACTGTTGTCTATTTTTCCTCTCGTTTGTGTGCACAACAAAGACTATAGAAACAGCAAATTCTAAGCATTATCAAAAGTTAAGAGGGAACCCTGCCTGCTTTATTTTCAATTCACTATTTGAACTTGCAGTCTGCTGAAGCTCAGCTTCCTGGATTTTTCTTGTTAGCTTATCTTCCAATTCCTGACACTTCACTGCCACTTCAGCTGAAAAACTCCGTTCCTTTTCAACCTCTGCCTTTAACAAATCAACATTTGCAGATGTTGTTCGGGCCTCTACTTCCATTCCGATAAGTTGAAACTCTAGCAATTGCTTTGCTTCATTCAACACATTTAGCTCACTCTGCAGCTCCTCCAACCTTACTTCAGCCTCAGTCAGCTGAGTTTGTGATGCCTTGAGAGAATCCTGACTCACAGTCAAAGCATTCTTGAGTTCAGCCTTCTCTGCTTCCATCTTTTCTAACTTCTCTTCCAATTCAGCCACCCGATGAACCATGGTTTCAAGCTCTGTTTTTAGTTGATTCTCTACATTGGTGGATTTACTGCCAACAGATTGTGATCCAAAAGAACAGGATTTATTCTCACTCTCGGCTAATGCAGCAAGTCGCTCCATTTCCAGAAAATCATCCATGATATCCATTTCGACAGAACAAGTTTTGACATTTTTAGTCATGTTCTTTCCATTCTTGAATTGTTCAAGCTCAGCAATTAGTGCTGATGCCCATGAATCCGAGCAACTTGTTTCAGACTCATTCTGCTCCAATCTAGTCATCTTCTGGGTATGAATCTCAACAGCATTCAACTGCTCCCCACTGTCTGACTGACTATCTGTGAGGGACTCGACATAATGCGATGAAGCAGCAAGGGACTTATGATCATTGTGTGAGGATGATTTACGAGCCATTGCTTGTAGCTTTCGGCACTCAGCCTCAAGCTTGGCCACCTTCTTTATGCTTTCCAACTGCTGCTTGCTAGCTGTTTCAGCTGCCTGGGTGCTCAAGTCCCGCTCTATAGTCCTGACTTCTAATTCCTCAGACTGAGAAAGGAGCTCAAGCTTGAGGGCTGAGTTCTCTTTCTCTAAAGACTCAAGTTTAAAGGAAACATCAGGATCAACAGAAGCACGACTTTCAGCTTTGGCAGCCTCTGCTTTGCCCTGGAGCTGAAAGAGCTGGCTCTCTAACTCAAGTCTGGTGGATTCCCATTCTTGGGTTTTTGCTGCAATAGCGTCATGAATCCTTTGCTCGTGCTCCTCTCTTGCATTTCTCAGCTGCCTAACACATTCCTTAAGGGCACCATCGAGATGGCTCACCCGAACTTCCAGAGCCAAATTCTGCTGAACTGCAGCGTCAAGTTGCTGCTTTAAAGCTGCTGCTTCATTTTCCGCTTTTTCCCAGCCTAACATTCAAAAATAGATAGTAACTTAAAATACAGGCAATTGAAGAATGGAAGAATAGGCAACAAAACTATGCCTTATCTAGACCTCTATTTGCCTTTTATATTCAATTCAATGCGAACCCTATCCTCTGCAAGTAATTGTGCACAATTATTCCACTTAACAATTTCCGAACTCTATCATGAACAAATTTACTTATGCAGAAGGATATAAGACTGAAACAGCCCCAGGATGCAGAAATGTGGCCTTCCATAATTGTTGCTCATGAGAACTGAGATCCGATGGAGGGAAACTAATACCTGCAACAGCTTCTTCAGCCACTTTGGCATGCTGCTTAACCAAGTCTTCTTTGGCACTAACATTGACAAGAGCAGCTGATAACTTTTCTTTCAGACTCTTAACAGTATCATCAAGGTAGTCATTAATGATTGAGGCTTTTGAGGTGACCTCTGGTGATTGAATGCTATGGTTAGGAGACACCTTCAATGACTCCTGCTCCCAAAAGAAAAGGGAAAAAGAAATGTTACATTAGCAGTGAACTCACATGGATCAACAAGATTTTGAAGGCACCATGTAAGGAAAAATTAACCATTACACCCCTGGGAAGCTATTTAGCCCAACCAGCAATTGTAGACTAAAGAGGTATCACTACGAACTTTAGCATACCAACTGATATAGCACATTTACAACCATCAGTCTGTGTGGCCCACTAATGTGCCAGTCCAAGTAATTTGGTAAGGGGATCTTGGTCAGATTACTCAGTCAGAGTAACACTGTCAACAATTTATGGGAAAAAAATTGCTAAAGGCCAAAGTATGAGAAATACACTTCATTCCATCACAATTCAAGGTGAGCATAAGGGTGTTTCACCAACTAGTTTCCAAGTTTTTTAAAGGGCTGATATTTTGCCAAGAATCTGTTAAAATCAATGTCAAAGCATTCTTTGGGTGTTGATATTGCCTTGCATGTGATACGAATAGATAAATATTTATGTTGGAAGATGACATACAATAATGGTAATTTTAGACAATGTGAAAATGCAGTTTTGCACATTTATTCTGTCCTGTGCAAGGTAGGTAGGTATACATTTGTTTAGACATTTGCTGTTGTAGAGAATATTTTTATGTCCCCGTGCCTTGCGCAAAACTCACACACACACACATTATGTTCATTTGTTAAACGCCCATTATCAACCAAATGGAACCCACAAAGTGAAGGTGTTAATGCTCTCATTATATGAATATGCTTGTTCATATAATTGAAGTAAACAACTAAACATGCTCATGGAATGATATTGGAACTTTGACAATGTAAATCCTTTCTTAACACTAGTTAGATAATTAGTAACCTACAGCTGCTTTATTAACTCTAATATGAAATAAATCGCAAACTGAAATACAAATTTGAAAAAAACCGTAGCACCCAAGATGTCTTTCTCCATGTTCAAAAGATGAGTTTTTTTGAGATGAATTGCCTGGTGATGGTAAAAGAACCAATAAAGAAAAGAAAAGGAAAGGTCATCACTATGACCTCTCCTGGAAACTGGTCTTTTTGGTCCGGGCAGGTGACCTGGGGAGTTTGATTTTGCCAATCCAACTGCATATATATTGATATTTTTTCCCAATCTTACGAAAGCCAACAATAACAAGTGGATTTGTTTTCAGAGGAATCTGCAATGACACAAAAAGCCTCTCCTTGCATGTTAGAGTTTGGCTCACCTCAGGAATTCAGAGACTTCCAAACTAGCATCTGAGTACTGTGGACTTCGTCACTCGCTGCTCATTGGTTTTGAGTTGAGTGTTACAACATTGCACAATCATGTTCCATTGTTGTCAATTTCAAGAACCAATTTGATGGAGATGCAAAACAACATCCCGCTTCTAGTTGAAGAGATTTGACACAAACTGTAACTAGGCCAATACGTTCCAAATCTAGAGACAATAGAAGAGCCTTTCATGCTTAAAATACTTTGTGTCACCAGATCAGGTTACTTCTCGTTATCAAACACATACTACTTAGATAATCTTACAGTATCACTAAGGAACACAAGGATTTTAGTAGAATATGTGTCCCAACTCACAAGATGGCAGGTGCACACACAACCAAAGTGTCTCACCACCGAAATGAGGAACAGAATTCTCATTGGAAGTTGAAATGTCCTAAGAAAACATCTTATATGTAATATGAACATTCTAAAGGAGTGAAGTACCTTATCTACCAATCTTCATCTTATACCATGAGCAATCAAATACTATAACAGTCAAGCTAAGAATTCATGTTCAAAGATTTGGAAACCAGACGAATTGGAAGCCTTGGCACCCCATATGAAGTCCATGTAACATAAGGGCAAGCCTAACCTGACCATATTGTTGGAAACTTCTCATTAACTCGGCTCCGTATTATTGTTTGGTGAAAGTAGACAAGTGAGTTGTGGTTAAGATATACCAGTGCTCTATAGGGGAAAGAGCATCCTTTTTGTAAAGAAGAAATTAAAATTTAAAAAAAAACACTGGAATTAATCCATAACTCAGAACAAAAAACTCTGACCAACTTGCAAAAGCAAGTTCGTTGCTAATGATATAGAACCAGCTCATTCTTTTGGATAAGAAATAGTCCATTATTTGTCATGCATGCTTCAACCATATTAGCTGTTTCTTTGAGTTAGCGAAAACACAGATAATCACTCTAGGGCATATAAGCATTAGGACTTTGTGCCAAAACATGTATAAAACCACCTAAGACCACTTCATATAAAAATAATCCAAAACTTCTATATAATGCAGCCAAAAACATTGTTTATTCCAGTTTAATTTCGGTTGAAATTTTTACAATGGAAATGAATAATAGGGCATAGTCAATTTTTTCATGGTTGAAATTCAAAAGCTTGCACAATAGAAAAAACTTGAAGAACCGTAAAAGGATTATCTGGATATAATGTTGAAGGGAAGGCTCATTCACCTACCTGCTCATCAGAATATCTCTCAGAATGTGAAGATATTGAACCGGAACTTTCTGTTTCACCAGGGCTCTTCTCATATGATTTCTTCTTCCACAACCATTTCCTTTTTTCCATCTTATTGTCCGACTAAAATCTCCACTAGCACATTAGAAAAATTCCTGCACGTACATCCACATCATTCTTTGGAAAGCCACTGAGATGCAACCATAAAGTATTATTAAAATTGCAGTAACAATAGAATTATAAGCATAAAAGGGCTATCCTTAATCAATTCATGCTCTCCAATCAACAGGTTGCTTGTTAACAGAATCACAACCGATAGTGGAAAGCAGACAATAGACATCGCATCCTCTACAATCTTAGCCATTCAACAATAAAGGTAACTTGGCTTCTCATTCTTTCAGCTTTGCTTTAAATCCACCTCACTGAAATATATATATGTATAAAAAAAAAAAAGAAATATATGCACACATCCAAGGCAATGGGACTGCAAGCTCCAACCAACGCCAGAAATTATTTCAGAAACCCCGCATTGAACTTTGAATCACGAAAGACCCAATAATTAAATTATAAAGTAAAAAAAAAAAAAAACCCATCCGATGAAAATGACCCAAAATTTCCAAAAACCCCAAACTCAAAAAGATGATGCAATCTAAATCAATAGAACAGTGGCCACAAAGACAAAATATGAGACCCGAGCTGAAGATTCAGGACTGTCCAATGCGAAAGATCCAAGTTTTCAGCTACCCATTAAAGATAAACAGCAAAATATCATCCTTAGTTCCCAAAAACTTTATGAATTGCAAGAATACATAAGAGATATACATGTAACTGTAGAAATTTTTGCATTTAAGAATGAAACAGGTGAAAAAGGAAACATTTAGAAACAAACAAAACCCAAATCAACATACCTTTGACTGGAGACAAAAATACCAACCCAGAAATCTGATGGGAAAACCAGTAATAAATGTGAAAGCAAAAGATGGGTTGGAGTTTTCAGATTTCAGATTGCAGAACAGAACATAAACGAATCATTTAAAAAAAAAAAGCCATTCTGCCAAAGATCTGTGGAATGTCAGTGAACATTCAGACAACAACCCACAAGATAACAGATAGTGAGGTTTTTCTGTTGATTTTGTTTGAAATATAAAAAGGAGCCAGAGCATGTGATTATGAATATGATGTTTTCGAAAGTGAAGAATGAGACTTTTAATACAACTTTTTCAGCTTTTTTTCCATTTTAATTTATTATCATTTAATTTTTCAATTTTTTTATGATTTTGAAATCGAGTTGGAGCGGAGCCTGGAGCCATTCCCGCCCATGGATGCTGACAGATTACTGTTCATTTATATTTGCAGGGTTAAAGTTCCCCCATGCCTACACCAATAATAATCTGTATTTGAATAAACTCTATATTACTAAAAATTGAACATTATTTATTTAATATTTATATTAAAAATATTATTGCTTTTCCTTTTTTTGTATTATACAATTTAAAATTAAAATGAACAAATAAGAAATAATAGAGGGAAGAGAGGTAAGTGTGGTTGAATTGATATTTTTGAGTTATTTTTTTAATGAATTTTGTATTATTGAATAAAAATAAATAAAAAATTAATCAATCTTGACTATTATTATGTTTATATAAGTTAAAAATTTAACTTTCTAGTTATAATATTAGATAGATATTTTTTTAAAAATAGGAATTAAATCTAAAATAGAGTGATATTTTGTAAACAACTCTAATAAAATTAGGAGTGTCAATTTAACCTATTGAGACAAAGAGGACACAATAGAAAATCGAAAATGACATTACTGATAAATACAAATAATAAATTAATCATATTAAATTTTAGACACGAATAACTTGATTAGTTAGTTTTGTAAATAGAAAAAAAGTATTTTATATTTTTTAATTAAAATTAAATAATTTTTTTTATTAACACAAATGCTAACATGAAAACGATAACACGATTTGAAATTGATAGAACAGGACATTAATTAAAACCCTTGGTACAACTCTACATTCTAACAAAACAATAACTTTCATGGTAATGTTATTATAGAAATAATTATATGTGTCTTTATAATAAAGTATAGAACGAGTTTTTTTTCAAATTTAGAGAGTCGAGTTGGGCTTCTTATTTTAACTTGTGTCAATTGAGATTATTGGAGCTTGATTTTTTGCGGTAGACTCTTTCAGAGAATTATCTAATTAATAGACTATCTAGTCTTATTCAACAATCTATTTCAGAGGGTTAATAACCACAAAAAGTTAAACTCTTTACTCACAAAAGTTAAATAGAGAACGAAAAGATTTAAAGAGTTAAATTCACATTCTACTCTCTCTTGTATCATCGATAAATGAAAAAAAAAAAATTCAAGTATGCCTTTTTTATGAATATTTTGACTTTCGAGGCTATTATTTTACTAAAGTACTAAAGTTGATAAAAACAAAAAATTTGCTCTCAAATTTAACTATTTTAATAAACATATTTAAATAATTTCTACAAAATAGAAGGTACTATCAGGGATTTTCTCAGACTTGGTACGATTTTTTTTTTTAATATGTACTTTTTATTTAATCACAAAATAACATGTTGGTATTTATATTATTTTATTATTTCATTATATTTTATTATTTTGACAAATAATTCAAACTACAATTTATAGTTAAAAATAATTTATTGATATAATAAAACAAAATTTTTTGATATAACCAAAAAAAAAAAAAAAAAATTTGGGTACTAATAGTGTTGTTATCCAGAACTCTATGTTGAGTGATAGATAATGCATGCCAGCTTTTCCTAGACCTTTTATTACTTGTGTTGTCCTGGCTTCGGGGCAAGCAGTTTAATAAAGAGTGGGGGCCTTACCACGAATTCTTCTTCCTTGCCGTTTGATTGAAGAATATCCCTAGATTGTGACAAGGAGTTAAAGGTTAGATCAGATCAACGGCAGGAAGTGGTTTGTTGGTGAAGTCATGATGGGGAACTAGTGGACAGATCAATTGTGCTTGTAGGGAATCGCGCCTCAGGTGCAAAGAATCCCGAAATAAAGGGCAAAGAATCCCGAAATAAAGGGCAAAAAAAAAAGAAGGCCAAATTACATTAACACCATAGGGGTTATTTGCTAAATTATCTAGAAACCCCAATATTCTAGAAATTATGTTGAACCACCTTGAGTTTTAACTTTCAAGTCTTGGTAGCAGATTCCCCTCCGTACAATAAGTTAAAAAAAAAATTATATTGGAGTCATTTTCATATTAGGTTGAATTACTTATTGGCCCTCTCTCCAAGTTTGTATGGTTTTGCAATCAATTCCCTATAGTTTAAATTTCAATAGTTTTTCCCTTAAAAGTTTCAATAGAGCTCAAGTGATAACACATATGATATGAGCTATAAATTCAAATATCATGAATTTGAATTTTGCATTTTTTAAGGTCAAGTTATGAGAAATTTATCTTTTATGAATATCGTAGGTCTGGTGTGGATGATTTTTTTTTTAATCGGATCAAAAAAAAGATTAGTCAAAATGTACGTAAACTGATTCAAACACCCCTAACCATTAGACAAAAAAAACAAAGTAAGTTAACAGATGAAAATGATTGAATTGACAATATTCTAAGTAAAACCCTTCAACCATGGTTAAAAAAGGCTTTAAAAAAAAGATTGTATAGGAGAAATAAAGATTGTATAAGTGAAGGGCTTTAAAAAAAAAATTGGGCCTCGACAAATGATTGCATGAGTTGATATAATGATTGTTCACTATGATGCTGTGAAGGTTAATAATGGTGGAAAAGCATGTAACCATAATGTGCTAATAGGGAGAAAATAGAATTTTCATGTAAAGTGAAGTGTGGTTTCTGAGCGAACTTTATTTAGTTTTGCATAAAAAGTGTGCTTTTAACTCATGCTTTTATTGTAAAAAACGTGAGTTAAAAACACGATTTAGAAAATATGAGAATTTGTTAAATAAATTTAAAACAATGATAAACTTGTAAATAAAATTAAAAACAGCCATAGTACAATTTTTCTTAATATACTTAATTTAGTCGTTTTTCGAAGCAATGTGTGATAAACCACCAATTTACATAAAAATACATTTAATGAAATGATGAACCGCGAAATTTAGAAGCTATGTGGGAAGGCCTAGTGCTTTGTCTACCGGACCCATACTGTATTTCGCATCCCACCAACACAAATTATTTTATAATCGATAATTATCCCAATCATATAAGATTTAAAGTTATTATTGTTACGTAAATTTAGAATGCATGCAATTTTTTGTAAACTATCATATTGAGTTAATTAGAACATCTATTGTGAGACTCAAACTTTTACCTTGGAGTGTTGACCCTTAAAACCCTACTACCTAATGAAATAATTCAAGGCTCTGGCTGGCTTGACAATGGTGGCCAAAGTCGCAAAAAGAAATATGTTTCTTACTCCTTGAGGATTAAACCCTTACCATATAGTTAGGAGTGGACACTGACTCTGATGGAATTAGAATCATGAATTATGACTTTCGACTTCGACTTCGACTATTGTTGGAGTAATTTTTTGCCTCCTACTCTAATGTATATTGTCTTTAACTCTGACTCTACTCCGATTTCGATTGACGAAGTCGGACCAGAGTTTTGAATTTGGGCCAAAATTGGGCCAATTTTTACTCGTTGCTAATATTTAGGGATTTAGGGTCCAAAATTTGAAACATAAAATTAGAGATTTAGGGTTCCTTAATTGGAGATTTCGGCTAACAGTTGCAGAAGATAGGAATGAGAGAAAGGGAGAGAAAGAGGGAAAGGACAATAGCCAAATAACATGAGAGAAAGAATGAGACGACAGAGAGTGAGATAGAAAAGGGTTTACTAGAAAGGCTTCATGCTTCACCGTCGAGTCTTCTGTTCAAGCTTCACCGTCGATGACAAAGGCTTCATCCTTCACGATTCTTCTTCTCTAGATGATAGATATGAGAGCGAGAGTGAGACTTGAGAGTGAGAGGGAGATATGGTGTATGGAGGCGACAAGCGTGGAATGAGAGAGAGATGTAGTGTATGGAGATGTGTAACACGCGTTAGGGTTTGATAATAATATGTATATATATAATAATTATAATAAAATTATTAATAAATAGTTGGAATAGGAGTTGAATATTTTTCAGAATAGGCTTTGGACTACGACTTTTATTGGAATTTTCCACTGTCCTTCGACTCCGACAGAGGCAGAATTGGTCCGGAATGAGAGTCGGTGTCGAATTTTTGAATAGTTGCAAAACTCTATATATAATTGT